GAAAAATGTGTTTTTTTTCTTTCGCGAGAGTCACCGTTTTGCTTCCGCGAGAGGCACGGTTTTGCTTCCGGCAGAGTCACGGCGGTGCCTCTTGGAAATGGAAAAAATGTGCTTTCTGTTTTTTCCTTCCGCGAGAGGCACGGCCATGCCTCTTGGAAACGAAAAAAGAGATCTTTCATGTTTTTTCCTTCCGCGAGGGGCACGGTTTTGCTTCCGCGAGAGGCACGGTTGTGCTTTCACGAGAGGCACGGCTGTGTTTCTCGAAAATGGAAAGAAAAACACGTTTTCTATTTTTTTCCCTTTCACGCTTTCACGAGAGGCACGGCTGTGCCTCTCGCAAAAGCAAAAAAACCCGTTTTCTATTTTTCCCTTCTGCGAGAGGCACGGTTGTGCTTTCGCGAGAGGCACAGCCGTGCCTCTCGGAAAAGGAAAAATAAACCTGTTTTCTATTTTTTTCCTTTCACGTGAGGCACGGTTTTGCTTCCACGAGAGGCACCGTTGTGATTTCGCGAGAGGCACGGTTGTGCCTCTTTCGAAAAGGGAAAAAACCCATGCTCCTGATTCGGTTTTTTCATGCGGTTTTTTTCGTGAAAAAAAATGTTTGGGAAAACCTATCAATATGTGATCTAGTTTTGAAGATCTCGACGTGAGGATCCAACGGTGAAAACGGCTCAAAATTTGGACGCACCGTTTAAGAGATAAAACGTTTTGAATAAACGGATTTAGGAAAAAAAGGGAAACTCCCAGGTTGCACCACTTTTCGCAACCTGGGGAGGTGGGCGTGATCTTTGCAAAAAGTACTCCTCAATTAGCGATTTCGGCGATCATGACTCCATAGACATACAACCAGCCAACCTGTGGATTTATGAGCAGCTTATCTATGAATATTATTTTAAATCTTCTCTGAATTCTTATATGCATGATTTAATATCTTTGTAATTCCCTTTGAATTATCGGTTTAGTTTGGTCAACTAGTTTGGTTTTTCTTGCAATAAAGAAGTGCTTAGTTTTGGGTTCAATCTTGCGGTGTCCTTTTCCAGTGACAGCAGAGGCATCAAGGCATGTATTGTATGTTGCCATCAAGGATAAAAAGATGGGTTTACATCATATTGCTTGAGTTTGTTCCTCTACATCATGCCATCTTACTTAATGTGTTACTCTGTTCTTCATGAACTTAATACTCTAGATGCAGGCATGAGTCGGTCAATGTGCGGAGTAATAGTAACAGATGCATGCAGGAGTCGGTCTACTTGACACAGACGTGATGCCGATAGTTCATAATCATTACCTTAGATATTGTTATAACTTTGCGCTTTTCTATCAATTGCTCGACAGTAATTTATTCACTCACCGTATTATTTACTATCTCGAGAGAAGCCACTAGTCAAACCTATGGCCCCCGGGTCTATTTTCCTTCATATAAGTTTCCAATCTACTATTTTGCAATCTTTTACTTTTCGATCTATAAATCAAAAATATTTACTTTACCTTTTGTTTAGTTTCATCTATCTCTATCAGATCTCACTTTTGCAAGTAACCGTGAAGGGATTGACAACCCTTTTATTGCGTTGGGTGCAAGTTGTTTGATTGTTTGTGCAGGTCTTGGTAATTTGTGCGTTGTCTCCTACTGGATTGATACCTTGATTCTCTAACTGAGGGAAATACTTATCTCTACTTTGCTGCATCATCCTTTCCTCTTCACGGGAAAAACCAATGCAAGCTCAAGAAGTAGCAATCATGTGGAGGTTTTGATCACGAGGTGATCGAGGTGATATATTGCTTGGCCGGATAGCCAAGAGCGAGGTGGTTCTTGAGATGTTGGTTCATCAGTATTCTAGTAGTTTTATATCATGCTTAATAGTTGTTACCATCTCATAGTAGTTGTTAATTACTTAACCTGTTAATGCTAAGTTGTTGTCTTGCCTTGATGCTTTTAGTTGTTGTGAGCTTGCAAGTACATTCAATGTACTGACCTGGCGTGTCATGCCAGATTGCAGGTGATGCCATGATTGATTAATTGCTTGTCGAGGTAACCGATCGTGCGAGCTAGATCGTGTCCTAGCTAGAGTCCATACGAAGTGGAGTTAACCACCATCGTCGTTGTTCTGCTGCTACGAGTTGTTTCGCTGCTAGCATAGAGCTACCTTAGCAGGCTTATTGTCGTCGTGCTGATGTGATCCTTTGTAACATCAGACTTGTATCCCTTATTCGTTGTAATAAGAGTTGATTGGTTCTATACCGAGCAGTGCCATATTCCAGAAGAGTTATCTCGATCTCTGGGATCTCTGGGCTGGAATACGGGGCATTCCGGTTTCTCTGAGCCGGGGTGCCACACTATAGAAACAAGTTGACACTTGAGGCAACATGGTCAAGCACCATGCATTCCTTGACTTACACATACACCACAACCGGACCACTTATTGACAGCTTAGACGCTCTGCAATTCATATGAGTAGCAACTAAGCTTAACTATCCTTATCTACAAGCCTCTTTGAGGATATTTGTTAGATCCGTACATTGCAGAGCTTGAGCTTTACCGGGATATTTAGAGATACTAAAATAGACATAAACACATAAGTACATCTGAGGTTCACATATTTTTTTTGTATATATGAAAGTGTTTTTTTAATAATTTGCTTACATTTTAAAGGAATTTGGTTGAGCAAGATTTCTGAAACTAACATGTCAAACAATCTTTTTACTAAAAATACTCTTTGTATAATACTAAAAATATACTCATTAACTTAAATGTTATCTTTCTACCAATTATTTAGCATTTTTCATGTACTTATAGGTAAAATATATGTCCATCAGATAAATATAAATCAATTTACTTATTTAACATAGAATTTGACCCCTAAATAATGCCAAACTTTAACATGGACCATGTAATGTTGTATCTTGCGTGTAGAAACAACTTTGAGGTCAAACGGTGAAGTAACTATCGCCACGCTTTCAGAAACTATGACGTTGTCTTTCAAAACTGTGATTCTTTCTTGGGAATGCTTCGGTTTCTAAGTCATGTAGATCACATATTTTATGAAATCCTCTCAAATATTACAAAAAAGTAGCAAATAAAATAAAAATTCAAAACTTTGCTCTTAATAATCCAAATGTATACATGCCTGCTATTGGATTTATTTGTTTACCATGTGTTTTACACTCGACAAGGCAATAACACTGTCCGTCCACCGTAAACCACGGTTAAGATTGACATG